GTTTTGAGAAACGATGTACAAATGTGCTTTACACAATTGATGTGTGTATGGATTGGGATAACAGTTGTATGAGTCCCAAATAAAATGATTTTTTTTAAAAGAAAAAAACAAACAAAACCTCAAACCCATTGCTACTGGGTGGATTCTGATCCATGGTGACTCTGTGTTAGACAATAAAACTGCGGTATGGGATTTTGTGAGCTAGCACCCTTATAGAACAGACTGGCAGACCTTGTTTTCAATGTGCAAGTCATTGCCATGGAAGAGCTAACCTTTACAAGTGCAAACCATTTACACCAACATGGGACCTTTTCCTCGCCCATTAACGTACAGAACAGCTTTCGGCTCGGGTCTCTCTGAAATTCCCCCACAGGAATATCTAACCACAGAAACCAGATAAAACACCATCTGCAAATATTTCAGGGAAATAATTTTCAACCTGAAATCCCATTCTCAGTGCAATTACTAAGCAAGTGTGAGAAGAGTAGGGCATTATAAGAAACGTAAAGATTCTAACCATTATCTTCTATCCCTGGGCATTAACTTGAGGACCCGCAAGGGAAAGACGAGGAGATAAGAGTGGTGCGACAACCAGAGGGAAGTACCGATGAAAGCCCAGAGCCTTTCAGAGTGGGCGCATTTAAGGCAGGAAGAGAAGACCGAGGCAGGTAGCTGAAAGATCTGTGTGGGGTGTATAAAGGGACACTGGTGGCACAGTGGATTAAGTGTGAGGCTGCTAACCAATCTCCCTGCCACACCATGGGAGAAAAACTACAGAACTGTTAGGTGTTGGAGCTGACGGCAGTGACAACAGGCTGGGGCACATGGGATGAAGGGAGTGTAGTCAAGAACTCAAGAAAAAACAGAACCCTATTAAAAGAGGGGAAAGTCATCCCACTGCAAGCATATTTGCAGTAATTCTCACAAGGGTATAACATAACAAAAGAATTTCCCTGATTTTTTAGTGCAAAAAAAAATGTTTGTGTTATTTAAAAGTATGAATGAATGAGCTAGAACACAGCTTAAAGGGAAAGATCAAAGGTATGCCTACTAACATTTTCCACACACAACAGGGAGTCTAAGGTTCACCTGTGAGCGATGCACTCAAGTTACTCAATATGATCCACTAGCCAGAGTCCCTTTGTGATGTACTATCAATGCTGGTCTGTGTCTGTGGTTAATCCGCCTACTTCAGAGGGGGTCTCAACTATGCTAATGGTCAGAATGAAAATGGGCTGTATTCCGAGTCCAGACGGGTGCAAACCAAGTCATCACCCTTTGTCTTCTTGGGGATAAGGTCTGCTGAAAGACTAACTCCATCCAAGCCATTTGTGTGGATAGGAACCATCGCAGAAGCAATGAGAGAAGTCCCAGGGCCACGTTCAAGCTCTCTGTGTGGAGCACCAGAGGCACCAGAGGCTCTAGCACAGAGCTGAGCAATGGAGCCAGGCCAAGAGCAGACACGGAGGCAAGGAGGCCATGAGACAGAACAAAGAAGCTAGCGTGCTAGGACAATGACTGTGAGGCAGAGCAACAAACGGGCTTCCTGACTCACAGAGGTAGGAACCAGGGGACTATGTGGCTTAGAGGCTGACGACCAAAGAAAGATGTGGCTGGTAGCTGAGACGAGGAGTTGCCACGTACGAAGACTGTATCCTCACTGCTTCTCGATCCTGACTTGTGGTAACCCGTTATTTAACCTATTTCACAACCCCATCCATGTGAGGCCTGGGGTCAGCAACTCGAACCAATAGCCACTCCAGAGGAAAAAGCTAAGGCTTTCTGCTCCCGCAAAGGGGTACAGTCCTGGAAACCCACAGAGGCAGTTCTACTCTGTCCTTCAGGGTCACTGAGTCAGAAGTGACTCAATGGCAGTGAGGTTGGAGTGTTGGAATGGTGCGTTCTGTCTCGAGTGCTGGGCGGCCATTGCAAGAATTACGGAATCAACATATTAGTGACCTGGGAGGCATGGTTGATGTTGGGACAGGTGGAAAAGCGTGGAGAGGAGAAGCATGCCTGACCTCTGCTTCGTAGCCCACCCCCACCCCAGGCCCCATACACTTTACTACTGAGGGGCAAACAATGAGTGTGCACGTACATTACTAAAGTTAGGAAGCATCCAGACAGACTCTAGAAGTGCAGACAGGAACACTTGATATTAAAATTAAAAACCACTGTTGATTCTGACTCATAGCTACTCCCTACAGAACAAAGCAGAATTGCCTCTTAGGGTTTTGGAGACTGCAAATCTTTACAGGATCAGAAAACTTCATCTTTCCCCTCTTCTTCAGAGCAACAACTGAGTTTAAACCACCACCATCTGGCGAGCAGTTCAGTGCTTACCCCACTATCCACCATAGCTCCTTTGTAAGGAATATAAAAAGTGTGATGTGCACATGGTACGGTGTGGGCTGTGGCGTACACGTGGAAACGACTGGGAGATATAACTCGCGGGGTTTCAAACAGTATACCTCCCTCTGGGAATGGAAACAGCAGACGGTGCTTTTCATTCACAAGCTTTTCAAAATAATTTGAATTTTCACACTCGTAAAGGTATGTATTAATGTTCAACAAATAATTGTACTCATTAGTAAAACAAAGCAGTAACAAGTATCTTTGGCATTAACTCTACATACCAAAAAAATAAGCCAATTTTGGTCTCTCCTTCAAAAACAAGGACTCCTGTTGGAGTTAATCCCAAACTATAGTCATTTCCATCTCTAGCCTAATTTAGAGAGAGCAAAATTTGTTAGTTTTATTCTCATAAAAGTTTCACATTTTCATACAAAGGTTTAATTTTATTTTCACAGAATAAATTAACTAAATATTTTAGCACAGTATGCAAAATAACTTTCTCAGGAAAATATTTATACCTATTTTTAGTTTACCATGGGAAAACTGGAGTCTTCAAAGTATATCTTTATTGACAGTAGGAATTAAACTTCCATAACAAAGCAAGCTCTGTCTAGATCTGTTTGCCAGGAAATTTTGTAAAAGTCTGCCTTTCTAGGAAAACGTTAACTATCTAAACTAGAAATAATTTAAATCATTACATCAAGCTATTTTTTGCTTATAGAAGTCCTCTCGAGTATACAAGTTCATTTCATAAGGTGGCTTTACTGTAACAGAATTTACTCTGAACTTCAGGGATAGAAAGTCGTATGCCTTTCAAGGGAAAAGACTAAAAAGTAATTTAGAAGTTAGAAAAAATAAACCTTCACAGCTGAAAGAGCACAGAAACATATTTCTCTGGGATTTTGGTCATTTCTTTCCATCCTATATACACAATTGTTTCTGTAGGATATTCGTCATTCAGTATTTTACAAACAGCTTTACTCAATGCTAGCCTATGCAAATAGCCTGGCTAACATATTTTTAAAATTGGAATTAGAATATTCTAATCAAGGTAACTCAAAGGAATTTTAAAAGAATCAAAACATAGTGCTTACCTTGACCACATGCATATCAACCCCATACATTTCTAGCCATTTAGCTTTATTTAGATAATTGGTTTCAGCTTGTGCTGGTGTCTGACCTCTGAAATTAAAAATAGTATTTTTTTTAATTACATAAAACTAATTCTGTGCCAAGGATATGAATAGAAGAAAACAAATATCATATATACTCGTGTATAAGTCGAGTTTTTCAGCACATTTTTAATGCAGTTTTTGTGGTAAAATTAGGTGCCTCGGCTGATACTCAGGTCGACTTATGCTCGAATATATACGGTAAGAAACTACAGGCATATGTTACTTAGCATCCACTGGGGGACATTAAATTGCATGCATGTCTGTGGGCCAGGGCACTTGCCAGAAACCCCACCTTCACCCACTGTGCCATCACTCAGTGGGTCTATTCCCATGGTTTGCCCAGTGTGTTTCTAGAAAATGCCAATGGAAAAGGCATGAGCCTTAGCCCCAGCTTGGTGTCCTCATTCCCCTTGGACCGGGCAGTTTCTTATACAAGGAAGCTGGCCTTCCTGGCAGCTGACTTGGTAATAGCTGGGCAGGCCAGCCTAGGGCTCACCTGAGGTACAGGCATAAACCGCCCCGTGGTCCTCAAGTCAGTGCAACAGCCCACTCTGAGCTGCTTAAACAAGGCTGTTGGCACAATGTACAAAGCACAGAATGTTCTATTTCACAGTGTCCTGTACACATTGAGTGATGAGAACGTAAGCAAGAGCCAATTACCTGTATTCTTTCCATCTCTCAAAAATAGCCAGCTCCATCTCTTCAGTCTGAGTGGGCACAAACCTGAACTCAGACACAAGTTCAGGAGTGTGCTCAGCTAGATCATAGTCACCTAGTTCAGCTGCACAAAGTTTCACAAGGTTATATTGTTAGTATTTTCTGCCGAACCTCTGTTCAAAACCCATTTAATACATAAACATTGCTGAAAGTTAGAAAGATTCTGTTGTAACCAATCAGGAATTCCTGAGTTCCTAGACCATGCCTCAAAATAAATCCAGCTTAAACTTTTCAGCCCAAATACATAAATTAAGTATTTATTGTTGGTGTTGTATTTGTAATGCAATGTCTTCCTCTAAATTCATTCCCTGGGTGGTACCAAAGTTAACTGCCTATGCTGCTTGGCTACTACTAATCAAAGGGGTGGCCACTGGATGACAAGGTCTGGCAAGGTCTGGCTCGCTACTCCTGAAATGTCAGCCCCTGAAAACCCTGAGTGTCTAGTTCTACTCTGACACACACAGGCTTCCCGTGGTTAAAGTCACTCAGTGAAACTGGTCTCTCTTATTTTGGTCCTATTTTATATTTGTTCACTTTTGAAAATCTCTCCCTCAACTTCCATAGAAAAATATCTTGGAGAAGGGGCTGGGAAGGGAAGCTGGAGCCATCAGTGGAAGCGGTTTTAATTATGAAAGTTTACTATATGTGAATATTATATCAAGAAAAAATACCTTTTGACCTTATAAATAAATTAATACAGATTCCACGTATGGAAAAAAAACATTAAAAGCTCCATGAAGCAATTCTACTCCCACCCATGGGCCCACAATGAACTGGAACAGACTCACAGCAACAGCATTAAATATCTAATATGTACAGAACAAGACTCTATAAGATATATAGTATCAAAAAAAAACCTGTCTTCCTAGAATTTAACATGAATTATAATAAAAAATTTAATGGGAAAAAAACCATAGGAAAATTAGAGAAAGGTAGCAAGAAAAGTTATGGACTCTACACATTTACTGATATGTGAGTTTAGAGAGAAAAAGGAAAGATAACAATTCTAACTTTCTATACTACCCAAAAATTTCCTTTAAAGTAATATAACATTTAAAAATATATATATATATAACATTTTTATTAAAAACTTAAGGCTTTTATTTTCATTTAAGAATCCAGTAGAAGAAAAATTATGTGAGAACTAGCACTTGAGATAAAAAATAATAACAGCTCATGATTAACTTAGCATCTGTTCTACCCACTGGCGTGTTACAGACATAAGATCATTTAACTTCACACCAAACCTGGGAAACAGATATTATCATGTCCATTTTACCACTCAGGAAAGTGTTCTTTTGCCTAAATCACAATGCCTTTCAGAAGTACCAAACCAAGTCCACTACCATAACGTCATTCAGAACAAAATAGCATACTAAAATAGTAAATACATTTGACATTAAAAGTAAGGGCAAAGATAATAAAGATCACGCTGATATAACATACAAATCATAAATGAGAAACAAGGAGCACATTTTAATGAGGATGGGACCATACTTTAACAAATTTGACCTTAAAGACCTTAGGAATTAGTAGCATTAGGTAACTATTATGCCTAAAACACAGCATGAAATCTGGAGGAATCATAAAAATATATGCCATGGACGGAAAAAGTAGGAAAGCATTTTTATTTGGGAGAAAATGTAGGAAGTAAAGTTAAAAGAACAGAGTCACCTGAATGAATTAAAAAATAAGTACTTAATGAACAGGCACACATGCGTCAAAGTGTTCCACTGAAATACAAAAATATGCAGAAAAATCCTACTTTCAAGAAGCATACACTTCAGTTTTTACAAAGTCTACATAATGAGGCAGAGAGAATATACCAGGTATAAGTGGTATAATACAGATAATGAAAATGACAGCTTTTTAGGAGCTCTGATAGATTTTAGAATAATAAAATGTGAAAATGTGCTTGAAGAAATATGAATGCAATTAGATACTCTGAGCATTACAATGCGAAAAGCCTATCTTTACCAAACACGTGTGTACGTGACAGTCTGCAGATGAAACACAGCTTTCAATATGGAGATCGGAAAGATAAAAATGCATATTATTGGCAAGATTTCAGAAGTACAGAAATTTCTTCCAGTTACTAAACCCTTTATCAATGGGAAATATACTCTCATAAACAGTGGAAGTGCAAAAGATAAGACTTATCAATAACACTTGGAAAATTATTATTATGCATACCTTATTACTGATGTTAGAAAGGCTGAAGACAATTATTCAATCACTAGAAATCTTTAAAATATGATCTTAGGAAATCAATAAATCAATGCGAGTATTTTTTTCCCCAAGTATTTCTTTTCATTTTGTAAACAAGGGCTAAAGTGATAGTTCTCTTTATAAATCAATATTTTAGACACTGTAATAAACATCTGGGATTTTAAAACAGAAATATTTCTTTCATGGATTCGTTTTAAAAATAATACTAATGAAAACCAACCATGAGTAGCATCAATTTTCCCATGTATCACTGCATTCTTTAGCTGCTGAAGGCTCACTCACAATGTTTATTGAATCATGGCAACCCTACACCGGGTTTCCAAGGCTCTAACTAACTCTCTGTGGGAACAGTCTCATCTATCTCCTATGGAGCGGCTGGTGGTTTTGAACTACCAGCCAGGGTTCCTTTTGAATGATCAAGTAGATGACAATTGTTTGAAAAACTATACATGGAAAGGGAAGACAAAATGAAAAGGAATGTTCTAAAATTAAAAAGTTGGAGAATGATACAAGCTAGGTGAGATGGAAAACCACTTTGTTTCTTTCTTCTACATCACATTGAATCCTTAAATTCTTTAAATGAAAAATGCACATATACCAAAGATTCTACTCGAGTCTCATAGACAACATCAGAGCTACTTACCTTGAAGATTATATGCTGCCAACTGAGCTGCTGTATCAGAGGGGCATTCTAATCTGAGACCAAAACAGGGATGTTAGTCAACTTCACAACCTTTATTTTTAATATGGGAATAATACATAATGCAGCCATTTGTTTTTAATAATTAACTATGGACTTTTTTCTCTAAACCTTATTTCCTTGTGGTTGCTGAGAATGTACGGTACACCAGGTACAGTGTGGTGACATTGATTACATTCTTCACGTTGTACAACCTTCTCACCCTTCTTTGCGGAGTCGTATTAACAAAAAATCCTCCCCATTAGCAAACTCACTGCCAGCTAAGTTTCTGATCTCATCTTTTGAGCGGCTATTATCAATTTGATCTCAAAGAGATCGTTCGTACAACAATCCAATGCTCAAAGCAGATTTTCTTACTGATTACAACTAAACTGTCGCATAGTTTTAAGATAACATCAAAGGGATATTTTGGGTTTAGGGTTCAAAGGTTATCTCAGGGCAATAGTTTCAGGGGTCCATCCACCCTCCATGGCTCCAGAAAGTACAGAGTTTATGAGAATTCTAAATTATGTTCTGGGTTTTGCCTCTATTGATTAGGATTCTTGTATGGAATCGTTGAACTATGATTTTTTTTTTTCACTCAAACACCCAGGAAAATGTGCAGTTTATCTGAAGTAGCTAATACTTACTTTCCACTCAGAATATCTTGTTTTAACTGAAGAACAAATAAATACCTAAAAACAGACAAATAAAAGCCAATGTTTAACTAAACAGAATACACTGTGAAAAAAGAATCCCACACGTGTTTTGAGAAGAAATTTTAAAAAGAATTTTACCAACAATAAAGTCCTTAAAGGGAAAACTACATTAATCAGAAGGATGATCTATAAAACAATAGCAAGGAATAGGACACAGTACAGAGGACAGTTCATCAAACTGAAGTGAAAAAGTCTAAATAAAATTATTGAGCCTGCGCCCTGTAAACAGAAGATAATATAGTCTCCACACGCAAGATAGGCTGTAAACCAAAAGCCCAAACTCACTGCCATTGAGTCAATACTAGCTCATAGCAACCCTACAGAACAGGGTAGAACTGGCCATGAGAGTTTCTGAGGGCAACTATTTACAGGAGTAGAAAGCCCTGTATTTCTCCTGCAGAGCTGACGTGATTTTGAAATGCTAACCTTTCGTATCACTAGGCATAACCACTATGCCACAAGGGCTTCTCTTAGTGGTTACAGAAAAGGAAATAACTATGGATGATGCCTATGATCTCACTGGCAAAGGGTTTAAAGTGAAACCATACTAAAAGCATCAGAATTGGAGGAACACTTGAAAGACTTAAAGCGCTTGTTGATGAAGCGCAAGCCTTCAGTATGGATTACGAGGCCAGGTTAAGAAGATGAAAATCCTCACCACTGGTGAGGATTAGGTAAGCAATAGGTGACCCACAGGGTAACAGCATGATCAATGGACCAAAGGTTGAAGCTGTCAAGGATTTTGTCTTGCTCGGATCCACAATCAATGCTCATGGAAGCAGCAGTCAACAGAGATCAAAAGATGAATTGCATTTAGGTAAATGTGCTGTACCAGACTCCTTTGCAGTACTGAGAAGCAAGAATGTTAATCTGAGGACTAAGATGTGCCTGACCCAAGCTATGATATTTTCAATCTCCTCATATGCATGTGAGAGTTGGACGCTGAATAAGAAAGCCAAAGCATCAGTGCATTTGAACTGTGGTGGAGAAGAGTAGTGAAAATATAGTGACAAAGGTCTTGAGAAGAAGTATCATCAGTGTTCCTTAGAGGCAAGGATGGTAAGGGTTCGTCTTACAGACTTTGGACATGTTGTCAGGAGGGACTAGCTTTTGGAGAAAGACCTCGTGCTTGGGAAAGTGGAGGGGTAATGACAAAGAGGAAGGCCCTTCCGAGAGGGATTGACACAATGGCCGCAACAATGGGCTCGGGCACAGGAACCACTGAGAGAATGGTGCAGGACCAGGCAGTGTTTCCTTCTGTTGTGCATGTGGTTTGGAACGACCCAACGGCACCTAACAACGGCAGCATATTCTAAAAGGTCCCAGTGACTCAACCGTTTCATTGATAATAATTTGTGTGAATGGAATCGAGAACTTGCAATACAAAGTCCATTAGTAAGAAGCAAGGAGGAAAAACAAACTACTTAAGTGTGTACAGCTACTCTGAGATATTCAATCTTATGTAAACCAGATCAAACATTTTTCAATCATTAATAACATTTCAATAGGTTAAGAAAATCAGGAGCCAAACATATATTCCAGGCAGACAAAGCTAAATAATTTTGAACATTATTAACAAAGAAATATTACATTGGATTCAAGCAATTAATCCTATTTAAAATTCATGAGCTGATAACACACTTTTTAAAAAGGGACTGTGTTTAGCTGCTAACTAAAAGACTGGAGGTTGGAGTCTCTGAGAGGCACCTTGGGAAAATCCCAGGACGACTACTTCTGAAAGATCAGCCACGACAAAGCCAGTGAGTATAGCTCAGGGACTTCTAGGGGTCACTAAGCACAGAACAGACTTGATGGCAAATGATTTCATCATCTTTGCAGGATATTAGGAAACTACTTTATTTTAAAAATTAACAAGTAACGGGAAAGATTCATAAGCTTAAAAATCACGATCCCAGAATGAAATTCCATGGTCAGGTTTTGTCACCAGTGATAGGCGGGGCTTTAAATCTCTCCAAATCAGTTCGGCCGTAGCCAACATAGTACAACTGGAAGAGACTGTCTAAATTTGTAAGATGTGGGTGTACGGGAATGAGAACCAAAGCATGAAAAATTATGGATGGATGACAGAGAAGCACTGTGGGCCTGATGCAGGAGACTGCAATATGGCCACGGCTGTGGAGACCACCACAGCATCCAAATGTGCATCCAGTCGTCACCGCTGAGTGACCAGGGCACTCCCATCTCCAAGTCTGCCGGTCGAGATCTGGTTGCTATGGAACCTTGTTTTCTCTGACAGAGCTGGCACGTCTCAGTGAGCAGCACTCTGGGTCGTGTTCCCGCGTACCACAGGCCTGCTCCAGCACCACCATCACTGGCCATGACTGACGAGGGAATACTGGGTCAAACCGCAGGGACAAACCCCTCGTCACGTCATCAGCTCCCTACAACCGGGAACCATTACAAAGCCAAGCCTGCAGTATCTTCAGCGGGCCTGAGCACACTCACACAAGAGCCCTGCAGACATGCAAAGGACCGTCTTACCGAGTGAGCTCTTCACGAAGATTGTTGGGTTCGGAGGAGTAAAACTTAACTCGGAGATGCAAACAATAGGGTGAACCAACTGCCATTAAAAGAGAAAGAACAAGAAAATGCTTTAGTTTTGTATTCAACAGCTTAGTAAGCTTGTCAGTAAACTTGTGAACACAAACGACTGCAGAGGGAGGCGCAGAGGACAGGTTTCTGTGGCATTATTTCAGATCAGCACAGAGCACTGTTCTCGACCTTCCTCTCGCCGCAGCCTTCAATACACTTCCCCACGTGATGGTGACCCCCAACCATAAAATGATTTTTTTTTGCTACTTCATCACTGTAATTTTGCCACTGTTATGAATCAGGCGACCCCTGTGAAAGGTTCGCTTGAGCCCCAAAGGGGTCGAACGACCCACAGGTTGAGAACTGCTGGCCGAGAGGCGTAATCATGAAGCCAAAAAAAATCAAGCTATCCAACACACCAACCATCATGTAGGCCACATACACCAAGTAAGAATCTTGACGTGAAAACGAACAGCTGCATTTGTGGAGAGCACTGAGGAGTGCCGATGCCACTCACTGCTCACAGCAAATTCCCTCACACACTCTCAAACTCACTTGAGCCAGTTCACTAACTTCCTTATTAAGGGCGGCTCCATTATTTTGTAAAATCGCTGTACTACAAAGGACAAGCTGGATTGTGGATTCCCCCATGACTATTATATGTAATACATTTTTACATGAGTCGTTTTTCCTTATTTATTATTTGGGGGAAAAATTTACATCTTTCAAGTCTCACCACATATCTCGAACAGACCAGAAGCCAAACAGGAAAATTCCAGCATGATTAATTACAAGTTAAACATTTCACGTGAAGGCAAACTAATTTGCAAACTGCAAACCTCTTTCCTGGAAGCAAGTCACTTGAATCTAAATTACGATCAACATATATAGCTTTGGAAATGGGTCAGCATATTAGAATTTAAGTTGGTAGTTTTAGAAAGCAAAGACAAAAAAAATCAGCTGAATCTTGATTTCTTTATGCCCTTAATATTAGGAATCTGTTCAGCATATTCAGTTTCAAACTATTTCACAAATAATTTTTTCAACTTACTTTTTACTTGCTTTTTGATGCTTTTTGTACCATCCAACCAATGCTGAAAATAAAAATAAAAATTCAATGATAAGCAAGTACTGAGTTTTTAAATAAGTTACTTTTATTCATGATTTTGATGACAAACAAAATGAAGTATTTTCTGAGAAAAACAGAAGCAGAGAGAGGACACAAGAGTTACTATCTCAATGGTCACAGGAAGCTTGTGAGAATCAAAGGCTTATGAAAACAAAGACCTGAAAACAGGTAAGTCATTTCATGTTTCTACAGTTTCTTCATTAACAGACATTAATCTAAATTTAGTCCTTAGTTTTTCTCATATTTCCAAATAAATGACTCTTTCAAAATATTCAAATTAACCTGAAGAAAATTATCATAATTTGCCTGGGTAAGTCTCAGAATAAAAATATAAGACTGGCAAATCATAAACAAAAATTAGGTAAGTAAAGTTATCTAAATTTTACAAAATACATTCGAACAAGCCTACAGGGTAAACTCAGATCTTTCTCACATCCATGACCAAAACCCTTCCAGTAAATGTAAAAGCCTTTACTCCTTTGATATACAAACAAAAAGGTTAGCATTGTGACTAGCAGACTTCTGGGTAGAGTAATAGCCTTTTGATTTATGTAACCTCTTTATTCCGAAATGTCCATTACATAAACAGAACCAAGAACCAATTCCAGGTACTTCCAATGGTAAACCATTCCCAGTGACTTCTCATTATTAATCCTTTATACTACACCAAGCTATAACACTGACAGACAGCCCTCATGGAACTAAGATATACTTATGTAAGATTACACTCTCTCCAGAATGTTTAAAATTCCAAGCACCCTAAATGAAAGAGTGTTCTTGTGCTAACTAGTTTAGAGCCAAGAAATCTAGTTTCAGAAATCCAGATAGGCAAACCGTGGATAAACAGGGCAGTGTTGTTAAAATATACTTGTAACTATTTGTTTTTATGACTGCTCCCTTTTCTTCCAAGATCCAAAAGGTGAAACTCAGAAAACTATCAATATGCCAACAGAAAGGCACATTGAAATACAAGACAAACTAAATTATGTGTACGATTTTATCTGGCATCCAAGTGTATAGCTATTGGTCAACCATTTCTTTTAGTAAATCTAGCTGAATGTTCACTATTTTTTTCTTCAGGAATCTTATGTTTTCAGTGAAGACTTGTACATTGAGAAGATTCTCCACCGACGGTTCCGTGACAGCGGTTCCCCTTCACAGTGCACGAGCCTTCTCTCTCAGTGCTGCCACTCTGCTTGTTCTAGCGCCACTGACCCGGATCCCGTACCCCTTTACATGCTCAGCTGTGCTTTAATCATCAACCACTGATC